AAAATCGTGTATTTCTAAGAAACCGTGTAAACTAATTTCGACCAATAAGAAAATTCTATTTTTTTCTAATTAAATTTAATCAATAAGGGTATTTCGGTCATTTACAATATTTTCAATTAAATATGGAAATTATTAATAACTCTTAATTAAGGAAACGTAATAAAAAAAATTTATAAATGGTAACATTTAAATATTTAATTATATTATAATTTTAAAATTTTGAACTAAATATATTGTGATGCGATTGAATCTGCTGGTGAATCTTGAAGATTGTAAGACATAATGTAATGAATTCATCAAATCATGATTGACAAAAGAAATTAATACAAATGAAACAGGTTTCATGAAAGTGAAATTGGTTCATGTCATAATTGAACAATGAGTATGAAACATTTTTATGGTGAACCTGTTTCATTGATGGTGTAGTTGATTCATTTAGTAGGTGAAGTGGAAAATGAAATGGATGCATAATGTATTTGGTTCGTCATGAAATAATTGCATGATGAAACAGATACATGATGAATCTGTTACAGAATCTTGAAGATTGTAAGGGTTAAATGAATGAATTCATCAAATCACGGGTGAAATAAGAAAATTAATGTACATGAAATAAGTTTCATGAAGGTGAAACTGGTTCATGGCGTAATTGAACCAAGAGTAGTGAAACAGGTGCATAATGTATTTGGTTCGTCATGAAATAATTGCATGATGAAACGGGTGCATGATAAATCTGCTCCATAATCTTGAAGATTGTAATCTACTACAAAATCTTTAAGATTGTAAGGATTAAAGGAATGAATTCATCAAATCAGGAGCGAAATAAACTAGTCTATGTACATGAAACAAGTTTCATGAAGGTGAAACTAGTTCATGACGTAATTGAACAATGAGTAGTGAACTTGTTTGATGGTGAACCCCGTTTCAGTGATGGTGCAGTTGATCCATTTAGTAGGTGAAATGCAAAATGAAACGAGTGCATAATATATGCGGTTTGTCATGAAATAATTACATGCTGAAATGGATTCATGATGAAACCGGTGCGTCTTGAAATAATTTCATAATGAATAGGATGCATATTTACATGGGTGTGTGAAAGACATTGAAACAATTTCAGGATAAGGAATAAAAAGGCTGCTGCATTAGCGACACTATTTCCTAACAAATAGAAAATTTTAATTTCCTAAAATAAAGAGTAATGTCCTTCAATAGGATGTTACATAATATGTATTTTTGTTTATCATTTTGCCCTTATTGTTGATATAAAAATAAAATTTTAATATATATTTTTAAATTTCCTAAAATAAAATAAACTAATCTTGACCATTGATCAAGAAAATGGATGAATGAGATTGGTTTACACAAATGAAGGCGGTTTTCATTTGAAAACTCCCTTCTCTCTCTCTCTCTCTCTCTCTCTCTCTCTCTATATATATATATATATATATATATATATATATATATATATATATATATATACGACGATGATCAAATTAGAACCACAAAAAAGTTACAAACTTGTGAGAACCGATATAAAAATATCTTTTTACATTATTATTTTTTATCAAAAGCTACGATTTAACATATTGTTTCACATATATCTGTGTCCACCTTATGAAAAAAATTGCATGTGAAACTTTTTTTATTCACTTAGTGAAACGAAAAATACACATAAAATATATTCATATGGTGAAACAAATACATATGAAACTATCATATTTTAAAACAACCTCACCAGATCGAATCATCACTCTCCCTGCTCAAGCTCAAATCATGGAGAGTTTTCGTCAGGTTTCAGGATCATGAATAACTGATCTTTCTTGTTAACCACCGTTTTGTTTGTCCCAAACTACAATTCAAGGTTAAACTCTTAACTATTTTCAGTTGTTAATATCATTTTGTAGAATATTTATGTAATATAATATTTAAAACTATTTAGATTTTAACGAAATTATAGATTATTCGTTGGATATGCTTTAAAAAACTCGAAAACTAAGTCTGTTGATGTCCCATAGTCGAGTGATGGAAGTTTGTTGTATGGAAGATTCGAATGCCATTGCAAACGTAATCATTGATGACGAGTTTCTTCCACGCCAAAATGGCGGTCTAACGATCATGTATGATGTGATAAGGACCTATGAGTCCAATTACTACGCCTCGTTCACCATCGAGAACCACAAACTGCTCGCCCGACTCAATAATTGGAACCTAACCTAGGATTGGATGCGAGATCAGTTCATCAACGATATAAAAGGCGTGTATCCCTTCACTCGAGACTCATGCGGTTGCACATTAGGTCCCTGGTGCGTTTGGTATGCAGACTACATGGGACAGGACGAGACAAAAAAAATAGTCCCATGTTTGGCATGCCATGGACAAAAAAAAAACATGAGACAAGATGAGACTATTTTTAATTTTAGTGGGACAAATCTTGATATTTCTTGTTCCACCAAAAAAGGTGGAACAACATGGGACTAAAGTTAAAATGACAATATTTTGATTGATTTGTTGTCATTTTACAATTATTATATGATATAAAATAACATTGAACAACATTTAGGGGTAATATGGTCATTTTAATAGTTTTGTCCCGTCCTGTCCTAGTCGTACCAAACATAAGACAAACAATTAGTCCCGTCCCGTCCCGTCTTGTCTTGTCTAGTCTAGTCTGGTCTGGTCTGGTCTGGTCTGGTCTGGTCTGGTCTAGTCTGGTCTGGTCTGGTCTGGTCTGGTCTGGTCTGGTCTGCGTACCAAATACTAAGGTTTGCATTACCAACAAATGGATTTCTCAAACGTTTTAAACTGCAAAAGACGACCGACGTTGATCGATTTACCCCTCAAGATGACCAACAATACCCAAATCGGAAACATTATGTCTTGTTGCCAGAAAGGTATGATCTTGCCGCCCACAATGGACCCGAGCAAGTCGAAACCGGCATTCCAGATACAAGTCTACAAGATGCCGCTGAATCTTAACCAATTCGAGCTGGTTCCGTCTCAGGCTCTGCTGGTTCCATATGCAAATCGGACTGCACTTGCTACGGCTTGGGCTAACCTCCAACATCGAACCGTACCAAGCCCATTACCGTGTGCAGACAACTGCAAGATCAGTATCAACTGGCACTTGCTTACGGACTTCCGAGGAGGGTGGTCTTCCCAACTCACTCTCTTCAACTGGGACGATGCTGCTTTCGCTGATTGGTCTGTTGCAGTACAAATGGACAATTCCACCCCTGGGTTCGAGAAAGCGTACTCTTTTAACCAGTCTCAAGTTAAACGGGAAGAACAACACAATACTGATGCAGGGTTTACTGGGACTAAACTATCTGGTGGGGAAAGTAGATGGAACTAACCCACGAAAAGACCCGATGGTTACTCGACCAGAGATGGTCTTACCAACAATCTTATTCTGTAATGTTTACTTACGGAGAATTCTAATCAGTATCAGATAAAAGACGCTTATATTGTATTATTTTAATGACCAAAAATCTCATCCAGTAACCGACTATTTACCGACAAATCTTAAAAGAACATCAATATCCATGAATTGCAATACATTAAAAATCTAAAAGAAACAAACACAAAACACCAAGCTGTCCTAAAACCATCATCAACCCTTGACAAATCCAGTTCACAACGTTAACCACCATTGTTGTCACTAATTTTTCATTATCAACCTAAAAATTTCAGCAAATATGCCTTTGCATATCGCCTTATCATCATCCATCTTCATTATGAATCTTGACGAATATGGCTCGAACCAATCGTTTATGTACACCCACGATGTCCTCCTTACACCGGGAGATTATCCGAAGAAGAATACCAATCGAACCCAAAATCATTTTCCGCCTGTCCCACCCCTTCTTGCTGCAAGAAATTGGAAATCTGTAAGAAATCGGTTTTTTTCCTATCGTTTTACGTAATTTAAGCATGAAAGAACAACCATAACAAACCTGTGTAAGGAATGGTGTTAGGAGATCCTCTTGGCTGTATTCCTCAGTGCCAAATGGTTGATTAACGGGTGAAGGATCGTCTGTAATATGAGTCCAACTTCCTTCCCCAGACGAGATAATTACCTTACTACCCCCGATATTCTGATCAGAAATATAGTTATGATGAAGCACATTCATTCCTCCTTGCATATTGTTTGTATGCTGAGAAGGATTTGGGGTTAAATCCACACCTTGTAAACCCCAATTCTGCGGTCTGTTTTGAACATTTTCTATGTTCCCATCTCGTTGGAGGGTCGATGTAGACATGATAGAAGGAATTCCCGAACTGCCCCTAAGAGGGAAACTGTTGCTGGATGCAAGACTGGTGGATTGTACAAGAGATGCAACTTGTGAGGCAGCCGAATTGTACACTGCTGTTGCTGTATCTCTCGTGTTGCCAACCATTCCATTTGACAAAACAGGCCGTCTCGATAAATGATCATGAGTTTGACTTTGACCAGTCATCGGAATCAAGCCTTGGCTATTCATGCCGTTGAAGGAATGCCGAAACCCGGCAAGCTGCTTCGGCTCCATAGTTGTGGGAACCCCGTGAAGCAAATTCATCTGCTTGCTGATATTACTATTATACCCATGGCGGTTTTGGACTTGCCCGTATCTCAGTTTTGGGTTCTCGAAGCTAAATACATTTCTTTGATCAATTAGGGGCACAGAAATAGATCTGGGGTTGGCCGACCTGCCAAGGGCCACGGCTTGAAGGCTTGCAAGACTTTGAGCAGGGAGTTGATTGAGTTGACCACTGGCTGCTAGGGCTTGAAGATCAAGCTCATTGAGTGACCCATAACCTGCATCAAGATTGCCCATAAAAGAAGGGTTGATCGTGCCCGATTGCTGGGGCCCACCGAGTTTTCTAAGATAAATCCGATATTTCTACATCAAATTGTAGTTGTTAGTGTTTTTCTACAGAACAAAATTAATCAATAAAGAACATCAAGGTCAAAATGGAAAGAAAGAAATGCAACAAGTCTACCTGAAGGTGGCTGGCAACGTTTTCTCGTGTTATTCCAGGAACGTTCATGAGGTCCAAGATTTTCTTCGGAACAGCCTCTACAAGATTCATAATTAACTCGTCAAAATAAGTTAGAAATCAGATGTAAATTCAAATCTGTTGAAATAAATGATCAAGAAGAGGTTTCATACTATCGAATCCAAGCTGATTAACGGCTGCAACAAACTGTTGATGAAGCTCCATGGACCAAGCAACCCGAGGCTTCTTCGAAGAAGAAGAAGAATGTTCTTTTTCCTCAGCTTCATCCTCATCGTCTTTCCTTCTCTTTGCGGTTTTACAATTATGCCCTTCATTAGCAGAAGACGTGCAGTCGGGATCTTCAGGTTGTTTCTTCTGTTGTTGGTTACCTTCATCCAAACTTACGGATGGCTCGATATCTTTCCATTCATGCTTTCTTTTTCGAACCACATGTTGCCAGATGTTACGTAATGCCTCCATACGCACAGGCTTTATTAAATAGTCGCAAGCCCCGTGAGTAACACCCTTCATAACTACACTCTTGCTGTCGTCAGCTGACATCACTGAAAGATTCAATCATAATGAAGTTAGTTAAAACTACCTAGATCTTGATAGAATGTAGCATAAAATTCAAGAAAATTATCCCATTTTGACTAATATAAAACCAAACCAAAAGTATATCCTACCAGGTGTAGGGTTTAGAGAGGTAAGATGTAAGCAGACTTTGACACGTGTCCCACGAGATAGAGAGACTGTTTTCCATTTTGGCTGATATAAAACCAAACCAAACTAAACATACCCGGTTCAGCTGGAGGTAGAGTTGGGGGTTAAGATGCATTCTGTCCAACGAGACAGAGAAAGAGAGGTTGTTTCCTATTTTGATTAATAATATGAGAAGATATTAGAACTGTTAGGTCTACATCTTGTCCTCAAACCAATTGGTAATGACAGCTTCTCCAAAATGAATAAGAAACCTCAAAATCCTCAAAAAATTTGCCTCTAAATTCTAGCGTTAATTATATTATTAAAGTTTTCAATACATTTAATATCTCATCAAACTTTAAAATAAAATTGATTTTATATTCTCTCCTCCAAATAAATAAAAATGATTAAAGTATACTCTCTCTCCTCCAAAATTTAATTTGGAGATTTCTTTCTCTCTCTCCAAGTTTGGAGAAATTTTTATTCTCTGTCATATTTTCTCCATTTTGGACCATGGTTTTGGAGAGTCAAAAAAACCCCAAAATCTCTATTTTCTCCAATTTTTAGAGATTTTGTTGACGTGCTATGAGTAACCAAGGCTCGTATTTACTAACCAATAGTGCCAACATGCACCCTCACGTATTCATGTTTAGCCGCCCAAATGTAACACGTAAAAACGTCAATTGGGCGGCGCAAACCATCAACGTGGCCACATTGTTCTTTATTCCAACGGTAACTAAGTGTCACTTGAACTAGCAGGTTCAAGACCTACAACTAAAAGATTTTGTTTATTTGACCCTATAAAGATTCATATGGCACATGCTATGCACATGGAGGCACTGATCCAAAACCATCAAACCAATCACAATATATATCACCAATCTCAATCCAAACAATGAAGAACATAAATCACAAACAAGAAATCATGTATATGAGTAGATTAAATGGAACTCAAGAAACATAAAAAAGTCAAAGGATCACAAATGGTTGACTTACTGATAACAGGAAGGTCCATCTCAAGCCCAATGTGTACAAGGAGTCTGAATCCATCCATATCAGGCATATGAACATCACTAATCACTACATCAAACCCATTTTTGTTTTCCCTCAATAAGGATAAAGCAACTTCGGCTCTATTGCATTTAGTCGCTGCAAATTGAAAACATCTTTGAATCAGTTACTTCAAATCGATACACAAATCAGAAGTACAGGAATCAACAGGTTCCAATTGGGCTACAAAAGCCATTCAAAATCAAGAAGTTTAAAGCATTTTATAAGCTATCTTTCTGAATCTGAGATGAAAGATTTGTGTATAGAAAAACAATTAAGTTCAATTTCTTTGAGAAACATTATATTACAAAATCCATGATCTAAATCAAGGTAATAAAAACCAAGATTTAGTAACTTTTGGGGTAATTCATAAATCAGCGAGGATTTTTTGCAAACAGTTGGTGTGCGTACAGTGTGTGTTTGTATGTACCTTCATATTTGCAAGTTCTTAGCATCTTCTCTAAGATCATGAGACAAGTTGGGTCATCGTCGACAACAAGCACCCGTAAACCAGCCGGAAATTGGTCGGAGCTATTACCATCGCCATCACCGGCGCCGACAGAATTCCAAGAAGCACCACTTGAACTAGGCATCATCGACTGTTTGCTGACCAGTACTTGACTTCCAAGATTCATTGATTTCTCCGAGGAAAACCTCAATAACACCCATAAAAGTACATGGCCTTTTGTGATTTATGAATCAAACCCACTTGATGTTTGACAAAAGCATGCGTACCCAATTCAAGAAAACAGAAAGAAGATCAAAAATTGACTTTTTGAGAGAGAAGGGGGAGAATTATAACATAAAAGTGGGTGTTTTTGGGATTTATATTTAGACATTATTGTGTGCTTCAAAGAGTTGAATTCTTGGAGGTTTGTGTTAATTGATGTTTTGGCAAAATTTTATTGCGATTGATTCTTTTTCCATTTTAGATTTATTTAATATTCAATAGTCCTTTTGCATTAATCAACGTTATTTTTGGTAATTATTACTTAATTTTCTTGTCAATTTGGACAGTGTGTCTATCTGTGTAGTGTGGATCCAGCTCATGTCGCCAATTTATGGTTGGGACATGTTGTTTTATTTATTAATTTTACCTATTTTAACATTTAAGTTTTATGAACTTAAATCTTATTAATCTATATCTAAATATATATACATATGTATGTATATATATATGCGTGCAAAACCGACGCCCTTTTGACGTGTCATCCTCACAATTCAATATTTCAAATTCTTAATTGTTATATTACCGCTCTCACCTACCCTCTTATCATCTCCCTGCTCTTAAAGAACAATGTGGCCGTCCAACTCCATTGATTTTGTAAACTCGACAGTGAAGCATGATGCAAGAGGCAATTTTGGAGGTTGAGGTTGCTGATGAGGGTTGCTATTGATTGGTACCGATTACGAAAAATTAGCACAAGTTACTAGGGATTTCGAAAGCTCGGATTCTATCAATCAGGGATTTGGAAAGCTCTGATTCTATCGATCACGAGATGGGGCCTTTTTGCCTACTCAATTTAGGAGTCTAGAACTTCTCTTCTTAATCTTGATCTGTTAACTACTTGGTCTGTGATTTTCGAGACTAACGATTGGTTTAGACCATCTCCAATTGTTATGGGACGATTGGTCTAAACCATCTCCAAGTGTTGTCTCTCAATTAGTTATGATTTATAAAAGTTAGAAACATTACCAGTACCTCCAACGCCTTACCTTTATTTATGGCATGATTCTTCGTTGACTAAACAAACAATATCATGGGGAAGCATATTTGAGGACTTCGAGAAAGAAGGGTAGGTTTTGTTTCATCATATTTCAATCTATGATTCCTTGAGTTTTTTTGTAGCCATTTAAGTTTCAGTTTAAAACAAAGTATAATGTTTGGTTTGTTTTTTGTCGTCATATAAGTTTAAGATTGAAACAAAGTATAATGTTTGGTTTGTTTTGCTCTCATATTTTCTTTACCATTTAGACAATCCATTTCATGGAGAAGCAACCTGAGGCGCTTGAGAAACCATATCATGGTTAAATAAATATTGGATTAAGGACAATTGGTGTTGGAAATAAGGAAATTCATACATCTTAGATGCACCGGTCCTGTGGAATAATAAGTTGGCTTGTTGTTCGTTTTTCAATTCCGTTTAACGGGTATGATTTGGGAATTTGACTAGAGATAGGAACCACTGATTCGTTTTTCAATTCCACTTAATGGGTATGATTTGGGAATTTGACTAAATGCCTTGAGATGAAGTTGGATTTCGTCATTTTATGAGAAATTGATACTTTCAAGATTCTTGAAGAACTCAAAAGGAAACACATTTTCTTCTCCTATGGATTTGGTTCTTTTAAGTTAAAAAAGTGAATAAGTAGAGATCGTATATATACGAGATTGGTTTTGATGTAGCAGTTTGTTTTGTGTCTCTTCTTAGAATATTTCATTATATTCATTCAATTGAGCTTAAAGAATACTCTGGGAAAACATATATAAGAAACCAAACTTATTTTGTCAAAATTTAAATGCAACTTAAAAATTGTTCTGAATTTATAATCTCTAATAGCATCAAGTTTTGAATCAAATGAACAAGGCACCTTATCAGGATTCAAATTTTTGCTAAGGAACCATTAAGAAATGCGATCATAGAATCTTGCATATGATTTACAGACAATGGAGGAGAGAACTTTAATAGAAAAGTATGTGTGTAAACTCATTCTTGCCTTTCTTCTCCAAATATGCCCATTCTGCCTACTAGATTTAGGAGTCTGGTACTTCTTTTCTTCCCTTTTGTTGAAATCTTGATCTACTAGCCACTTGGTCCGTGATTTTCGAGACTAACGATTGATCTAGACCATCTCCAATTGTTATGGACTATTTGGTCTAAATAGAAGTGATGGGGCTGAAGAACTCTCTATTAACATTTTATCTGTTTTTGGTTAAGGAACCTTCACTTTTTCATCCACCAAATATCTAAATAGAACTTTTTCTTTTGCTATATGTGTATGTGTATATAGATATAATACAATACAACTTCTGGAACTGGAGAACAACATCTATGTAATCCTAACAATTGGCAGATGGTAGTCTCTAAATCAAATGAATCATAAAAGAGTTTCTCTCAGGCTAGTTCATGGAAGGCTAAGCTCGAAATTTCTCAACCGAGTAACCAAACAACCTGCTTTGCAACAACTCAAGTTCCTCACTTTTGTTTACTGCATCAACTCAAGAACCATAGAAAAAACATTGAAAACCATGGACTCTTGAATTGATACTCTACATTGAGGTTATTTTGTATAAAATCAAGTCTTTGTTTATTTTTGGGTTTCAGTCATTAATTGCATACAAATAGCTCTTTGTATTTAAACAATCAGTGTGACTTTGGTCATACATCCTAATAAAAGGTTACATCATTTTCATCCAGAGTAATGAGATTTTATTATTTGGTATTCATAAAGAGAGTTCGAAAAGTACTTTGCAAACTCCATGGCCATCTTAAAACAAACACGATAAAGTTAACTATTTTGTGACAGTTCCATCCAAAATGGTTATTTTAGTGATTTATAATGACATGATTTTTTTTAAAAAGGATATATTTTGTCCAATGTTAGACATACATGTTTGATAATAATAAAAGAATTCAAGGAATGGACTAATGCAATAAGGCATGTACCTCCTTCATGTTTGGATTTTCATGAAGGGTCCTGCTATAACATCACAAATTCATATTTGTATAAAACCACATATTCTATTTAACATGAAATACAAATATAGACATTGGTCCCAAAATATACATAATGCTACATACAGAAGTAGCTACAAATTTTTCATTTACACCAAGTACATGTCTTGCAGATATAACAAATTCTCAAGTACATATACAATAGCAGCTTCCAAAAATTCACGGATGTAAAGCAATCATAACTCACTTCACATTTTTCCTTTCCCGTTACTCTCCACATGTGCTCGACCTGTAATGCACATTTTAAAACAAAACGAGAGTTAGACCATAAGGTATAGTGACGAATCCTTGATTGCTATTACAGAGTGGAAATCTCCAAAATACTTTTTGGAAATCAATTCTTTGAAACAACAATATACAAATATCAATTAATGATATCAAACCTCTTTTGTCGTCTCATATAGATGAGACAACCCCATTTTATCGCATTAAACATCATAATAATCAATTTGTCGCATCAAACCAACTTGTCACATCACACTGATGCGATAACATATTTTTGTCGCATTATACAAATGCGATGACCCTCTTGTTGCATCACAAGGATGTGATAATCGATTTCCTCGTATCTTGTTGATGCTATAACCCAACTTTGTTGCATCACATAGATGCGATAACCACCATTTGTCGCATCTCATTAATGCAATAAACATACTTTCTCGCATCACACTAATGCGATAAACCCATCATGTCACATCATAAGGATGCGATAAAATAACACTCGAATTCCAATCCCAATTTCACCGCATCATACATATGTGATAAAAGTCAATCCTATTGCATCAGAAAGATGCAATAACCATAACCCATGATCAAAAGATCATCATTTCTAGAAATTGATTATGCCACCCTTATCCCAATATACTCAACTCCTAATTATGTCACTCTTATTACAAAAATATAGTCAACTCCTGATTATGTCACCCTTAATAACAAATAATACCCAGCTCCTGATTATGCTACACTTATTTCAATCAGTTGATAATAATAAATCAAAACCCAAAATTATGCTAATAAATAACATATAATCATCAAATATCCAAGTATGAAACCATACGGTTTCTTTACCAAAAAGCAAATCAAATGATGTTTTATAAATAAAATTTTCCACTTATAATCATAATGAGATGAAGACTTAAAAATAGCAATAATTATCAAATAATAATTATGGAGGCTTCTTCTTTATTCCTTCTGTTTGTTCGAACCCAGGGAGAAAAAAACCAACTTTTCTTTTACTTTTTTTTTGTCTCTTCACATAAGCCAAGGAAGATAAAAATAAATAATAAAACACACACACACAAATATATATTTTTAGATGAGGAGTTTTAGTTAAGATATTCTAAAACCAGTTTTCAAAACAATCCCTCAACTTTCAATACTTATTTAGAAGCAACCCCAAACATTATAACCACCAACTCGGTTATCACATTATTCTCCTCTCAAAAGAATTTCGTCCCAGAATTCAATCAATCAAACAATTGCAGATATTTCTTTCTCATATCAGATTCCAGTTCCCAGATAGTCTCTTGCCCCTTATGAAATCACCACTAGACTTTTACCAGACTAATTTCTTTATTTCTCAACAATTTAGTCTTCTGGTCAGTGATTGCTTTTGATGTTTTCACAAAACTTAACTTTTCATCAATTTGAATCTTAGGTAATGATACGGCCATATTCGGATCAGCCAAACACTTCCGTAGAATAGAAACATGTAAAGCGTTATGAATAGCGTTGAGTTCTTCTGGCAGTTCCAATTGATACGCTACTGTACCAACCCGTTTGCTGATTTTGAAAGGCTCAATGTACCTCAGACTCAGTTTACCTCTCTTTCCAAAACGCATAATACCTTTTCGCGGTGAAATTTTCAACATCACAAACTCTCCCACCAGAAATTCAATCTGCTTTCAACGTTTATCGGCGTAACTCTTTTGTCAGTCCTGAGTTGTCTTTATTCTTTCCCGAATTCGATCTATCTTTCTAGTTGTTAGCTAAATAATCTCTGGATTGGCCAACCGTTTCTCCTCCACCTCATTCCAA